GGGGGGGGGGGGCTAGGTGCTGTGAGAGTGGTTGGGAGGAGACACGGTGGTTGAGATGGAGGCGTACGCGCAGCGGGGGGGCGGGGGCGGTACATGGTTGTGTTGATACACTTTTTTCGTGTGTTTTTCGTTTCAAGGTGTGCTCGGGGGTATAGGTGTTGCTCCCACCGCTGCGGAGGCGTTTTCAGGGGAGGCAAAGGCCAGAAGTCGGCCAGGTGGACCGGGAGCTCAAGCACGCGTTACGAAGTTGCAACCGGTTCCCTCAAGAAGGAGCCCTTGGCATTGGTGTTATGACTGTATGCCGAAGGTTGCTGGACGAGATGGCATTGCCCAAGAAGGATTTGGGGGGGTGGGGGGCACGAAAAACAATCCCAGCTTCGGTAACCCCCCAAGTGTGAAAACAGTAACAACAGGGTCGACGGAGCATGTTTTTTTTTCCGATTTTTTTTAATGTTTTGTTCCCTAAGGCCCACATAGTCATCTACGCTATTTCGAGATACACTAGTCTGCTGGGTTCCCTCCCCCCCCCTGAGGGCGCCAGTTTTTTTTTTGCTACGGGAGGGAAGTGAACATTTCAGCCGTGTGAATCTGGGGAGCATGTATTCGCGTGCAACACCTGCCTGCCACGGGACCCCCCCCCCCCCCCCTCCGTTCCATTTCCTCATGTTCTAACCCTCTCACCCTCTCGCGTGATTCTGTTCCTGCGCACTGTTTTGGTCCACGCGGGCAGATTTTCACTGGCATCCCCATCGCGCAGAAGGTCTGGGAATTCACAAAGTTCCCTTGAAGCAATTCATGCTGCATTCCGAATCGGAGCGCCGTCGTTCGACACCGTGTGCGGCGCGCAGCGACATTACAGACGGCTTGCTTGCAGTGTGAGGGCGGTGGTTACCCGATTGTGGGTCCCGGCGTTATTCCGACTTCACCACCCCTCTGATTGGCGGAAAACTACGAAGCTTTGCCCTCCTAGAAGCGTGAGCGTTCATGTGCTGAGTACGAATCACAAGGAAGTCCGGCGGTTTTGTTTTGTCGAACCCGGAGTGGAGGGGCTAGGTTAATGCGCGGCTTTGTGAAGAAGCAACCGGTCTGACCGTAAGTTGATTAGTCTCAAAGAGAAAAGAGATACGTATCTGAAGAGAAAGAACGGTATCTATAGAGAAAAAGGAGTCTGAAGCACGTGTGCATTCTTACGTAGATTTCGTGTAGTGTCTTCGCACTGGATTGAACGGGCGGGTTGTTCCGGATAATCTTCGTTGTTGCATGCGAGGAATCTGCTTCCACTATCCCCTAGGGACGTTAGAAAAAAGCATCGCTGTCACGACACAACAGCTCACATACAGCGTACTATTGTTGGTTTTCGGGTGTCAGTGTGAAGATGGATGCAGATCTACCTGCGTTGTTTTTGCTTCTCTACTGTGTTTCGGTTCATGTGCTAGCAACCAATCGACGGCACTTGTGGTTTTCTCTCAAGTCGTTGGCGTTCCAGACGGTCGATCTCGAGGTAGTCGGATCATGGCACAAATACCATGACTAACTTGAGCGAAGCAGTACCGATGAATCGCAAGCGATAATGTCCGCTTCAGCCTCTACACTTTGTGTTTTTTGCATTGAAGACGCATCAGCCCAGGATGTGTCTCAGCACCCGTGGCCGACCCAAACCCGTACCCTAATCCTCACCCATCGCCAATTGACGGCCTGGCGGCCGAAAACTGGGCGAGCACGCGGCGCTCTCGGAATGCGGAACAGAGAGCGGGCGCTGGGGGTTAAAATACCGCTCGACCAATCAGAAGCCGTATAGCCATCGCGTTCTCGGAATGCGGAACAAAGAGAGCGGCGCTGGAGGGTAAATGACCGCTCGATCGACCAATCAGAGGGCGCAAAAGCCTCAGACGTAGGACAAGAAGTTACCCACAGCCTTACGCATCAGCCAGCCGTGCCATTAATGAGGGAGAAGACGCACCGTTCTTTTCATCCTTCGTTTCTTCGACACCTTGGACCCCTGTGGTGCTTGCCTTCGAGAAGGGTACTGCCGAACCGCACAGGCAGCCGGACATCTCACTTTCGGACCAGTTTCTGTCTCGTTCTCCCTTCGGCAATCAAACAAACAGACCAGACGATATGGACCAGAACACCGAGGCTGCTTGCTGCAACATCAGTCTTACCTCAAAGCCACACTACCTGGCCAACACGTTCACTCATCCTTTTTTTCTAGGGTACCTGGTGCCTGTTTTCGCACCGTACGACACGGACAACAGTCAAGCACGAAGCAAAACAGTAATCTACACCATTTAGTTCCAGGAAGCACCCGCCCAAAAGTCCTGGCCAACAAATCGAATAGTCTAGTATGCTACGGTGGTCCTCCCGCGCGTTTCCGCACAAAATACCTGCGCAACCCCGTCTCGAGCAAAATCATGTGCCCTTGCCCCACCCGGAAGTATCGCATCAGTACACCATACAAGCCATTTATGCCGACACTACATGGAGGTGCATGGTGTGAGCTACGGTCAGACTTACACCGCCCATGCCAACACGCCCGACAGGTTCGCGAGACCTGGGCGAATGGGCTCGGTGCCGTTTTCGCAGGTGGGACGTGTTTGCATGCGATAGGCCACACGCGCGACCTGCTGCTTCACAGCCGTAGCGACGAAACGGATTGTGGGGGAAAAATGAGACAAGTGTTCCGCCGAGGCCGGAAGAAATGGTCTCAAAAACGTGAGTGAGTGAGTAGGATGACGGTTCGTCTCAACAGCTGAGACAGACGCGACCTTAACAACAACGGGTATCGTGTGACAAACACGACAATGAACAACCTTTTTTACACTTCGTCCACCTCCCACCCCTGCGGGGTTTTCCACACACGACACCGCGAGCAGCTGGCTGCTACAAGACAACCCAGCCGGCTCTCAGGAAACAAGCAGTAGTAATTTGCAACGACAACACAAACAGCCACAAAAAATATATATGTACCACATGATGACAATTACTACCCGCGTTTGCGTAGCTCACGCAGCCTAAACCTGATCGGACAGAAACCGTTTCCAAACGCTGTTTTCTTTTTGATACTTCTCTACCACTATTTCTCCCAAGCAAGCGACAAATCCCGGATGGTATGCACCCTCTAGTGCAGTATCGCATGCACGCACTGCAAATCACATGCATACATCACTACCCGAAATTTTCTGATTGGCCAATTTTCATGTCGCCGCCAAAAGCGCTGACGCCGCCGCTGCATTATCGTCTTCATTACTGTTGCTGCCGCTGCCGCCGCGTACTTTGCATACGCCTAACCCAGAGCACTAACCTGCGCGCACAAAAAACAAACAGCGGGTGGGGGCGGCGGGAGGGGGGTGGACGTGATTCTTCGGTATATTCCACACAAAGTTATCTCACGAATGAATGTTTTCTCAAATGAAACCATCCTCCAATCCCCATCGGCTCCAGTAAAGGCGCCACCACTTTCAAGAAGCTGGGAGCTAAGAAACCCAGGCTCAAAAGAACGGAATCAAAGAACTTGACCATGAAGAACAGTACAAGAAGCTTGGGGCGAGTCGAAATTTAGTCGCGACAACATGGGGCAGAGTAACATCCTAGAGAGCTCATGGTAGTTCACAAGCAACTCACCACTCCATCTCCTCTAGCGTCAAGTTTTCGTTTCGCTTGCGCCACAGCCGTAAAACCTCTCCCCTCTCCCCGCTATTGTCAAAACCCCTCCCCTCCCCGGATCGCAAGGTCGCCGGTGGTGATCGTGGCACAGGCCGGGCGGCGGTGGCGGCAACGGAGGGAGGATCGGTGGTAGCACAAGTATCAGCGGTAGCGGTAGCGGTAGCGGCCAAGAGGCTGGTGAGGGAAGGAGGTGCCGTCGGAGCATCTCCGTGGTCCCCCGCCGTTCTCGCCACCCAGCCGAGATATCGCACCTGTGTCGTTGTGTCCACACGCACAGACAGGAGGAGGTCCTGCATTGGCTACAAAGCACTCGCTTCCTTTGCGGTGCACGAGCAACGCGTCAGTCGTGCAACAGCAAACTACACCGTGCTCACAACGCCGACGCATCAAAACTACGTCAGGCTATTTTTTTCGTCCTGTTTTATTCTGGCGACAGTCCCTCCGCTTGTCGTGGTGAGACGTGTGCTACACTTTTCAGTTGATGTAGAGTACTACTCTTCAGTGTATGATTTCGTACAACTACATCCAGGGTCATACAGGAGGGGGTATAAACACACCGGGCCTTTTTCCTTCTGTTCATTTGTTAGTTACACAAGAAAAAAAAAACTTTTCTAGACCAGTCCCCCTCCCTGATAGGGAGGGCGGGGAGCACATCTGCTTGGATACACAACAAGGGGTCGCTTGCGCAGGAAAAAAATCAACCGCACCGTCTGCGAGGGAGTGAGTATTTCCATCAGCGTGGCCGCTCTGGCATGCGCGTCCGCCATGCAAGCCTCAGTGGAAGCCCTGAGCCCCGCCAGCACTCGAGATAGCCTTCTGAGTCGATCTCTCTCCGCCAGCGTAGGGGGGCTTGCCGCAACCGCTCGCTGGAGCTGGAGAAACTGCATGAAACATTTGGGGGGGGGGAGGGTGTAGGGTGCGTTAGGTATTGTTTATCGCAGCGAATGGCTGGATAAATATGACATTTCCAGTCTCTTGCTTGGAGAATGGGGCGGTGGTGTATACCACTGTTCGGGGATAGAACCAGAGGGAGAGTCAATTACCCAAGGGTACCGAGTTCGCGTTCCCAGGTGCGATTGTTCCACGTGGCCCAGGCTGTCTGGTAGCTGAGCCTCCGTGATACGACTATATGCAAGCGCGCGGGTAACCTGCAAATTTGTACTAAAGAGCTTGTCCAGGTGGGGGGGGGGG